AGGAATAAACCGAATGTTCAATCTTTACTCTTAAGGCACCTGGCTTTGGCTGACTTTCTTATGGGGATCTACTTGCTTTTCATAGCGATACAGGATGCCTTGTGGAAAGGGGAATACGTGGATCATGATGTAGAGTGGCGGTCGGGGATGACATGTGAGATTGCAGGGGCCATMTCAACCMTATCAAGTGAAGTCTCGGTGATGATGMTGTTTGTSYTGACAGCRAATCGTTTCAKCACCATCATTTTTGACTTGAGAAGCAAACGCATGAGYTTCAGGTCTGCTCAYTGTGTTTGTCTTCTCGTTTGGATTTCTGGATTTGTCATCGCCTTCAGCCCATTGTTTGCCACAAGCTACTTTAAAGATSAAGCCACTGGGTTCTCATTCTACGGACGGTCGACCGTTTGCATTCCTTTTCAGCTTTCCTYAGAACGACCTGCAGGATGGGAGTACTCCGTCGCCATGTTCATGGCCTTCAACGGTGCTGCCTTTTTATTCATCCTTGTTGCTTATGTAGCAATATTCATTAAAGTCCAGCGCTCCGCCAAAAGAGTCCAGTCATCGAGAGAACCATCGTCACTGGGGACAAGAATTTTGTTCATTGTCCTGACAGACTTTTGCTGCTGGATGCCAGTCATCGTGCTTGGTATTCTATCRCTTACTGGAAAGTTTAACGACCCAACAGGACAAGTGTATGCTGTGATTGCTGTATTTGTTCTACCAGTGAATTCCTCCATCAATCCTGTCTTATATACGTTTGCTACGCCACAAGCAAAGAAATTATACCAACAAATGATGCAAGGACTACGAAACAAATTCCAGGTTTGTAGTGTTACTGTTAGCCTCAAAATTCCTCTGCTTTTTTCATTTACTTTTTTTTCTGTTTTGTTTCTTGCCGTTTTGTTTCTGGTGCCGTGTAGATCTTTTGATGAATGCAATATTAAAACTGTGATTATACCGTTGTGTGACGCCAATCTGACCATATAATTATATGTTATATATAATTTAATTTTACTAAACTTCAACAGAAAGTGTCATGGCCATGGAAGCGAAACGGAGCACCCAACGAGAATCCTGGCGACGGAGATGAAGCAGACGAAATGCAAAATGCTCTTGAATTAAGAGAGATTCGGTGAACCTGTGTAATAGCTATTTTTCTTAAGACGTCCAACATTTTGACTGTACCTAGCCAAGAATAGTGGTAAGCACTGATATGGCGTTTATCGAGAAAACTATGCAACTTTACTGTCGGTGTCATGTAGCCAATTTATATATCAATAGATAATTAAAATTGACCAATCCAGCAGCACAAACTTAGAATAATTTACACTTTTCAAACGTGACTGAAGGTAGCTGTTTCGCCGAGGGAGTCGCGCTTTGCCGAATTTTTTTGACATTTACAAGGCTCGATAAATTTGTTTTTCTTCTTTTATTTTTTTTTCACAAATTTGTGCAGTTGTGGTTTGTATAGTGATTTACGCATGATCAGATCCCGTGAGTCAGCTAATCAGATTGTACAATTTTCAAAATGTTTTTAAGTATATATGGCTACAACTTTGAGTTCCTTGCTTTTCCGTACCATGTTTTAC